AACATTTGAAAGAATATCGTAGGCTTTCTTGTTATGCTTTTCTCAGCATAACATACTTTGATTCCTATAGATATTTGATTTTATCTGCTATGATACTTCATGCTTAAATATAATATCTTTTATCCAAATATAAGCTGTCCTTTGCTCATCAAATAAATATTTAATAGATATCATGATTTTGCCTAATATGTAAAGTTCTATATGATATAAGATGTTCGATTAACATGAATAAAATTAAAGTCATCTACTCATATATGAGGATCTATAAATGACATTAATATGGCACATCCTTCTATAGAAATACTATATTCCCCAAAAGCTTACATTTAAACCCAAACTATTTATAAGGGCTAATAAATGCACTTAAAGATTATGATGCTCTTCATTTTGTTTGGTCCATTTGACCAAAAATGTTTTTCTTAGATTTTGTTGGGGTGAACAGAAAATTCAAAAATTTATTTTGATGATCAAATTTTAAAAGTGGGTCTATTTAGGGAGCATATAGTAGTATTTATTATGAGCACATGTAAGTGAAATAAAGCAAGAGATTGAGGCTTCAGACAATTTTTTTACTACTGTCTAAAATGACTTTTTCGTATACAAATTTTTAATTTAATAAATATTTAGAAATTTGTGTTAGAAAGCTGTTTTAGAAAGTAATAAAAAAAACTATCTCAAACAAGTCTTGAGGTTCAAAAACACTTAATAAAAGTGTACTTGTGCTGCTTTGAGACCTTCCATTACTTGTTACATAATTAATTAGTACTGCTTTGATCACTTAACTGTCGACTAATAGAAAAAAAATAGTTAAAATAAAACCAAAATGACTTTTTAGTAATAAATTTCATTGATCAATATTTAAACCTTACATTCTTTACTTATAACAGCGTAATTACAACATATTAAAATTCCTCCAAGAATTTAGCAAGCATTCTATCACATTTTATCATTTTATGTATATTGGTATTCTATCAGTTTGTCATTTCATATATTAAGCCATTGATAAACACCATGCCTTTAATTGTAAAAAATGTAGACAAATATATATTGTTTTCAAGAAACCAAAATGCAGTTCAAGTCCATTTTTATCAACACTTCAGTGAACCATTATACTATTATTATTTTTGTTTACTGCGTTATTATGTCATCATAAGTAGGGAAAAAAATTAAGGCTTCATTTGGGAGGGCTTTTTTACTGCTTCTTAAAGCAATTTTTTAATACAAAAATTTTAATTTTTCTACTAAAATGCCACTTTAAGAAGCTATAAAAAAAGTTCAAATGAAGCCTAAGTTCACATTAATTTGAGGTTGTTAAGTGTATAAGAAAAATGGTTTAAGAAAATTTATCTTTATCAAGGGATCAAAAACTAAACATGCAAAAAAAACGTAGGATAATTAGCAACAAAACCCAAACTAATTAAAATTTCATGAGATTTATGACAGTCCTTCGGTAAGACAATTTGCAATATTAAGTGGGAGGCTGAACAGTTCATACAATGGGGTCTTGGAAAAGGTGATATTTACTTCTGGCAAGACAATTGACTTGGGTCTGTTTCTATTGACACTATACTGAATACGCATTCTATTGGTAATATTAAAGTTTCTCAGTTTTTTCAAAATGGCTTGTGGGATATTGCTAAACTTAGAGAGGTGGTTCCTTCCTTCATTGTTGAAAAAATTTTAGAGGTCCCCTTTCAACTGCAAGATAAAGATTTAATTTTATTCTCTTTGTCTTCTTCTGGCAATTGTATTTTAAAGGATGTTTGGAATTCTTTCAGAATCAAAAAGGATTGCTCTACTCTTTACGGGCTATTTGACACACGAACTTTCCTTTATCTTATTCTATTTTAATTTGGAGATGTATCAAAGGATACATTCCTGTGGATTTTAGGCTTCAAATGAAAGGCTTCCAAATGTCCTCTAAATGTCTTTGCTGCTCGGATATTGAGACGATTGATCACCTCTTTGTGTTTGGTGTCATTGCACAAACTGTTTGGAGTTATTTTGGTAACATTGCTAATAGACCTTTGATTTCTACGCATGATGATTTTATTTCTGTTATCAAAAGTTGGTTCCAAATCTCTAAAGGTCACATTTTAAATCTTATCCCCATTCTTATTGTTTGGTTCATATGGAAATCCCGTAATGATACTAAGCACAATAGTATTGATATGGATACCACTACTATTATTTCTAATGTTAAACACAAAATCCTTCAAATGCACTCTTACAAGCTTATTTCTAAGAAGAATTTCAAAAACTGTATTCATTTGGCCAATTCTTTGGGCATTCATTTTGCTGATATTTACACTGCTGCTGTTGATAAGATGGTGAAGTGGATCAAACCCAAACCACCTTACATTATAAGCTTAATACTGACGGTTCTCTTGGCCCTAACGGTGCTGGTGCTGGCGGTATTATTAGAGATGAGGTTGGTAAAGTGTTAGCTGCTTATTCAGCCCCTATTAACTACAACTCTGCAATTACTATTGAGATTCATGATCTTCTCCTTGGGCTGAATATTTGCACTAACTTAGGTATTAGTTTTATTTGGATTGAGGTTGATGCTTTGCTTCTTATACAGATTATTAAGAATATGGTTCCTGGTAATCCTAAGAATTTTTATCTTATTAGAAAAAGCTTTCTCTGTCAAGTTTTCATTATTTTATATCTCTCATTTTTCGTGAAGCGAATGTATGTACTGATTGGTTAGCTAAGCGTGGTTGCAATATTTTTCATTATGAAGAATTAAATCTTACTGATTTGCATCCTCTCCTTCAAGGTATGATCATGTTAGATAATACTGGTATACCCTATATCAGGTATGGTTAACTTCTTGATTTCTGTGTTGTTTCCTGTTTTTCTTGATTGCTCTATGTTCTTCTTCAATTGGGATCTTTTTCTCTCTTTTGTATTTGCGGATTGTGCTGTTCTGGGTAGCTACTGCTTCAATTTATTTTTGGTTTGCTTTGGGATGAATTCTGGCTACTTTCCTTCTCTTTACTGGTCTATTTCATATCTTGTCAAGCATGTTTGTTCCTCTCACGCGGTTTGTAGTATGGATTTTTGGTTTTTTGAGGTGCAGCTGAGGTCTCTTAATATTCTTATGATTCTTTTTTATTGCTGCCCGAGCATCTCTATCTGCAACTCCATGTCTCTAGATGCTTGCTTTCTGAATGGCTGCATCGACCCTTTCTTCTGTTCCTTTTCGCTGTTTTATTTCATATCCTCTCATTGGATTTTTTGGAGAATTCTGTGTAGGTTACCTTCAACTTCTTTGCGCTCTACCTGCTTTGTTATCCAGGTATTTTTATGGTTGGTTCTATTTGTGCTTTTCTTTTTGCCTTTTCTTTTTCGCAGGAAGTGGATGCTGAACTCTTATCTTCAGAACTTCCTTTTTTGGGTGCCGTCTGCTCACAGCACCATTAGTAGCATCTTTTATTTAAATTGTATTATTAGGACAAGGAGCCACGGACTCGTAGGTCTTTTTTACTTTTTGATTGTAGCTCATTCGAGCATTAGAGAGTCTGTGGATCCTTTTAAGGACTATGTAACCTCTTTTTTGATATTAACGCGTAGGCCCCAAAGTGGGTTTTAATTAAAAAAAAATAAAAAATGATAGTCCTTCGGTAAAATATGATGTTGCATTAACACCAATTGTACAAATTTATTCCACTGATCAACATTCATGAAGTAAGTTGAGCTGCATGGGAAATTACCTATAAAATTCATAGAGAATCGCAGCAAATATTTCCATAGCATCTAAAAGATGGCTTTAACACATCTTTGATTATAATTAATGAAACTTAACCTGATGCGAGTTTAATAAAGTCTTTAGAAAAAAAAAAAAGATATCACTGGCACTCAAATAAGGTTGGAAGTGTTAATAGTTAAGGTTAACCAAATGAGTTAAACACTCCATAAAAATTTAAATGAGAAGCTACTTCTATTTCAAGAGGCTGAAACCGTAACTCAAAAATCAACGGTGTGGTTACTGAAGTAAATTATGTGGAGGAAATTAACAAGCGCAAGCTTCTCTTCTAATGAAATCTTAAAACACAAAATTTCTATCAATCTGATATGCTCGCACAAAGAAAGGCGTAATGGAACAGTGCAACTTTTCTTGATGAAAAATTTTCTTCACGCTCGCTCAAGATGATATATTTTTAATACTATCTTCATAAAAAATGTCACACAAAATGATATTTCGCCACCAAATATTCATATAAAGAACTCTCCTTTTGCATAAGATGCCACAGAAGGAAAATTGCTCAAAATATATGTTGATTTTATGCGCGCATTAAGTACTCATAGTCTCTTTGATCTACTTTCAAAGAGACGGTTCAGTTACATTTCGGCAAATATATATGTAGAAGATGGAGATTGTGCCTATTTTTGCTGAATAGTCAGTTTAAAAGCTAAACGTGCACATTTGTCATAGAATCAAGAAACTTTATCATGGGCGCGCGCTATTGTTGATAAGCCGAGTCTGCTAATTAGCTACAGTTCTCTGAAGACATTCATTTTCGTTTTCTTTTCTTCATCTCAGATATCAAGATTGAGAAACATAAGAGTTAGGGAGAAGAGAGAAAGAGATGTTGATACAAACTATATTATACCTAGAAATCAATCAGCACTCATCATAATTAGCAAATAAACAGTATGTTCAGCTTAAAAATTTCTTCAAAAGGAAATCCATAAAAGTAAAATTTAGTTCATGAACGAACCTCTACATATTCTTCTGATCAACCCTCCATATCTCCACCAGCAAATCTTCATTTTGAAGGTCTCCTCCTCCTCTTCATAAGCAAAGTATTGCACCACAACCAGAACCTTCTTCACCGTGGAAAAACCAAAACTAGCAGTAATATAATAACCTCTCATCAATGAAAAAAAAATAATATATCTATCTATAACAAGAAAACAAAAGCATTTGATCTCATCATACAATAACACTGCATGTATATATATTGAGATCAAAACCCTAACCCATTCAAACCTCAAAAATCGAACAAGAAAGGATCAGCATCATCCCAAAAACAAGCACTCGCCATAGAATAATCCTCATAACCCCACCCTCCTCCCATCGACGGCGTAGCTGGAATATCCATCGATGCCGAACCCACTTCCACAGAAGGCGGCTCCGGCGGGAAAGAAATAGACAGTCCAGAGCTCATTGAACCTACAAGAGAGTTCATTTCCTCAGATCCCATGTTTGTAACTCCGACCGGCGGAGTTACAGCGGCACCGGTGGTGAGTTGAGTGGGATAAGGGTATGGGATAGTGGGGTAGGAGTATGGGAGTATGGGGAGAGGGAAGCCAGTTGGGCGGGGGAGAAGAGGCCGAAGCGTAGTGGTTGATGAAGAGGTGCTAGAAGAGGAAGAAGAGGAATTACGGCCATTAGCACCGTCTGTGGAGCTATTGGAAGAGGAGGGTTGGAGATTTAGCTGAGCGCGGGGGCCGTACAGAATTAGAGCGGCGCGGTCGTAAGCGCGGGCAGCTTCTTCGGCCGTAGAGAAAGTTCCAAGCCATTTGCGCGTGCGTTTTCTCGGCTCTCGGATCTCAGCTACCCATTTTCCCCAACTGCGTTGGCGAACGCCGCGGTAGCGGAACTTGGAGTTGTCAGGACCGCCTTTACCTCTACGGACTTTTCTGGAGCCGCCGCTGCTGCCGCTGCTTGTAGGACTGTTGGGATGGGAAAGAGGGTACTGTTCTATTGGGGAGGGTTGGTTCGAGGAGGAATCCATAGGGAAAGGAGGTCGGTGGAATGGTAGGGAAGAGAGAGAGGCTTGCGGCTTGTATGTGGCCTCGTTGTGTGTGTGGAAGTTGAGGAGTGATGAGAGAGAACGGTAGGAGAAGCTGAAGAGGAAAAGTTTGAGAGGAGGAAGGGGGAGAAGGGGATGGGGGAGAGTGGGGAATCTCTTCTCTGGCTTCTGCTATATGGGTGAGATGGGCGGTGGATTATATATATATATATATGATTGATTACATGAGCTAATTGTGACTCAAATGAAAAAAAATTGAATCTTCAATATCTCATATAATTTTTTGTATGGATAAAGTTTAAAATTATTAAATTTGTTACAAGATTAGAATTTATATCATTTTGAAAGAATTTTAATAATTTTAAGATTCATTTTAATAATTTTTTTATAGAATATTCTCGCAGGAGATTTTTTTATAAAAAAATTAAAGTAAATTAAAAAAAATTAAATTTGCAGAAGATAAATTTGGAACTTAAAAAAAACAAATTAGAAGAAAATTATGAAAGGCGTTGAAGTCAGAATTATTTTAATTATTTTTTATTTTTTAATAGATGTCTTTCTATTTTTTTATTATGGATATGTATCTCTCAGTTAATTTATTCTAATATAAAAATCATTTGAGGAGTTATGATACTTCTCTTCTTAATAGAGCGGCCTACTTGCATGCATTGTTTGGTATTGCAAGTCGTTTTGAGGAATTTTTATAAACATGTTTATATTAAAGTGGCGATAATGATTTTTTTTTAATTATGATATGTATTAATGTCCCTATCAGCTTATCATTGATTGAAATTTATATAAGAAGAATCTATATCTCAAGTTATCTTAAATAATGATGAGTTATTTCTTATGAATATTTTAATGGAGAATTCTTTTTAGTATTTTGGTCAATTATATAAAGGGCTAATATGGAAAGTTCAAACTTTTTATATAAATAGGAGGCCGCGTTTACATGAGATGTTTATAACAATAGTGCCAAACAAAAATTGAACTCTTCTTCGAAGCAGAAACAGAAGCTGCAAAGCAGCTACGTTGCTTGGTATTAAAAATATTAAGGTAACTTAAATTTGAAGGAAGAGTTGTGAAAAGAAAATTTGTATTCTGTCTGAATTGATTGAAGGATTTTGTCTGAGGGAATCACATTACTGCAATATCAAGGAAATGTGTCAAATATTTTGTCAGTATTAAAATAAGAATAGAAATTTGATCATGCCAAAAGCATTTTGGACTGTTCTATCAGTGTGATTAACTTTATATATTCTGAACAGGCATAAATTTAAAAATGAACTATCACTAAATCATTCCTGGAAATACATTTTCGACAGGCATAAATTTGTTTCTTGGTTATTTAGTTGAGGAGATTGCTACTAAGACTATGAGTGAGACTTATAAACCTTAAGGTATATGTAAAAGTTCTAGATCTCTAGTGCAAACCCTAGGCTGCAAAGACTACGAAGGACATATGAACTTCAGAAAAGTCCCACTCTTTACCTAGCCAGTCTTTTTTGGCTAGGTAATAATTAAATAAAGAAAATAGGGTGAATAATCAACAATAATCATAGTAGAAATTAAATCAACCATATGAACATAGCTCGTATTCTAATGTTAAAAATTATGTTGAATACTTTGAATGACAAGATTTAAATCATTCTAGATATTGAGTTCTTCATCTCTATGGTTCTTAGAATGATTAATAATTAATTGAGATGTGGATAAAGGTGCCTCAATGTTCATTTGGTTTCATGCCTGGTAGGCCTCCCATTGTTATCTTTTTTATTTGCATTGTTTCTTCTTATCGGTGGTGGAATATGTGGAAACTGTTGGATCCGTGCTGGTATTGCTGGGTGTGGTTGGTCATGGATTTATTTAATTATTGCTGGTGGGATCTCAATGTGGCTATACATCCTATTTATTGTGTTCTGTGGCTGTGGTATACCATTGGTTGGTTTGTGGATCTGGGGTGCCTGGGATGCAGTTTGGTGTTATCCTGGTATCGATCTTTACTAGTGTTAGGAGGTTGGGGTGTTCTGGTAATAACTGGAAGCTTAATTGTCGTGTTTGTAGGGGTATTAATTGCCACTCTATTACTCAGCATTACCTAATGTTTTGTTGCTTCCTGTTTATTGTAGTTGCCTTTTGGATATTGATCTGAGTTTCTATGTTCCCAGTTTAAGCCCTGAGTACTGCAAGGTCGAGTGGTTTGTTGTTATCTACCCTGATCATATGAGGGTTTTATTGTAAGTTTGAGAGTATGCTGATCATTTTTTTTATCATCCAGGCTTACCTTGTCTCTACGGCTATTGGCAGTTGGTCTATTTTTTGGTTTGTTATTTTGAACATTTTCTGTAACAACAACTGTATGATTTTATATCCTATTTTTTACTGGTTTCAATCTATTTGCAACTTTATGCGCTTGTATTGTAGGTTCTTTTTTGTAGATCTATTGGCTGGAGTTTTGATTTTGTTGGGTCGTCGTCTGTTCATGACTTTTTTTGGTAGAAATGGGTCGACCCATATTTTTTGCAGGAAGTTCGTGCTACCTGATTATCTTTTGCTCTTCTTTTTTTGGGTGCTGTCTCCTTGCAGCCCTAGAATGTTCTTAAGAATTTTTATAAATCTTAGTATAAGGAAACACCAGCTCTTAAGTTTTATTTTATTTTATTTTGTAGCTCTTCTAAGCTTTAGTGAGCTGGAGGTTCCTTTTAAGGACCTTGTAATTTGCTTTTATATTAACGTGTAGGCCCCATTATGGGTTTTAACCAAAAAAAAAATCTATCTGTATTGATGAATCATCTTAAGGGATAATATTATTTGATTGTTTAGGATGGATGCAAAATATTTTCTATAAATTTGATTGTCATGCCAAATCAACTAACATTTAAAGAGAAAAAATCTTTATTTCCTCTCAAATAGAAATTTTTACCAAAAATCTCTCCTTAAAATCAAATAAAATGACCTTTGAAAAGCTAAGAAATATCAATTTTCATAAGGATTCTAATAATTGAGGGCCTTAATACTAAAGAAATAGTTGAGTCCATTCGTTGATGATTTCCAAATAAATATCCCATTGAGAAAAGAATGAAGATGTCAAATATGTATGCTCTTAATTGTGGTAAGAGAGTTCAAATGGGAATGCGTGATTAATTAAAAAGCTCAAAGTCATGTTTATTTTGATAATCTCAATAACAATTCATTAGCCACCTTTGATGCTTAGAGCTCAATATAGCCTTATTAATAATCATTTGTCTTAGGAACTAATTAAGAAAATCATAATTTCATTTGTGATAATATCAAACCTAAAGATGGCCACTAAATCTCTACTATTTATTTCAATATAACTTTATCCAATCGATGAAGGAGAGGTAAGGAGGAATGTTACTAGAAGACCCCAAATTTCATTATTGCTCCAGTTAGCTTCTTAGATAATAGTAATCTATCATAACAAAAACAGAAAAACTAACTACAATTAATTTTTTGTTATATTTTTTACTAGGTTCTTCTCTTTTGATATATATTTTATAATTTATTTTAATTTATTGTATCTCTTTTACTTTATGATTAAGATTCTTACATTTGTATTTTAACTTTAGTAATATTTTTTTTTCTTTTGTTAGAACAAAAGCAATAACCCATTGGAGTAGAGCTCTCGAACAAGTATATAATAAATTGAGTACAAAATAGAAAAATAACTTAATCATAGATAAATATAAAAAAATAAACAAATTTCATTATCATCAACATCTATATATGGAAATACGGTAATATATATCATCACATTCATTATAATGAAAGAAGTTTTTTTTTTTTTTTGTTAAAACCCACAAAGGAGCCTACGCGTTGATACAAAAAACGGTTACAGAGTCCTTAGGAGGTTCCTCTAGCTCCCTACTGCTCAAAAGAGCTACAATATCAAAAGAAAAAACCAAAAAACCTACGAGCCGGAGGATCCTCTTCCCACTATTACAAAAATAATATAGAGCTAAGCCCGGGCTGTGAGTAAACAACACCCAAAAAAGGAAAGTCCAGATAATCTTAAAAGCTTTCAGCATCGCTTTCCTGCAAAACTTGACAAAAAAAAAACCATAGAGGAAAGAAAAGTAACAAAAAAACATACCTTGTAGAGAAAGCAAATCCAATTGCAAAATCTGCATATCTTCCTCAATAAAAGTATCAGATTCTCATAATCACCAAAAACAAAACAAGAAAAATAATTACCTTTCCGCGAACCCACGAAGCCAGTATTCCCAATGTAATACAAAAACCAATTGCCTACAATCTTTTCAGTGGAACCAACAGAATTATACGAAAGCATCAAATAAAAAAACCCGTTCATATCCATCCTGCCAGGCAACCACAACTGAAGATACCCAATTAAACCTTTCCAGTTCCCCCCAGTCATCTAGCACTTAAAGAACAAGCTGAAACAGAACCCAAAAACAACAGTTCTGACGCCAATACCCATCACGAACGACTCAGAAACAGAAACACTAGACAAAGGAACACACAAAACAATCAAAACACCAAGAGAACCAGAATCACCCATGTCGAATATAAGGCAAAGAAACTTTATCCACCAACAACATACCTCTGAAAGAGAGATCAAGATTAGAAATATCAATTTCCTCATACCCCACAAGGTGAGAACCCTTATTAGCTAACCAATCAGCACAAACATTACCTTCCCTAAAAATATGCGAGATCTTAAAATTCATTAAATACAGTAAGTTCCTAATATTTCTCATAATATAGAAATTCTGCGCATTACCATTATAATTCTTAGTGATACTAGAAACAACAAGCTTAGAATCAACTTCAATCCAAACAGAATAAAAACCCGATTTTAAACAAAGCTGGAGACCAAGAAACAATGCATTAAGTTCGGCCCAGAAGACATCCAGCTGCTGCACAGGCGCAGCAAAAGCAGCTAAAAGATCCCCATTAGAGTCACGTATAAGCCCACCCGCTCCAGCATTCACCAAACC